TGTAGCAGCTCGAGTGCCTCGTCGCGCTCACTTGCTAGTGCTTGAAGATCTTCTGTCTGTGCTTCGATCTCCCTCTCTAGCTCCTTGACTTTGTTCTCAGTAGTCTCAAGCATGTCGAGATGACCGTTAAGCTGGTCGTCAAGCTCTTTGTAGGAAAGCTTGAGCTGAGATAGCTCATCTCGAAGAGCAGCATGTTTGCTCTCGAAGTCTTCTCGATCAGGATCGCTTTGCTGGGTCAAACGCGTCCCGCCGCTTGCTCTTGAAACAGACCTCATGTGGTTGCGGGAGATGGAGCGCTCCAGAATACTATCACCGGCCGTCGATCCTGCATCTCCTCTTCGAATTGTGAGTTTTAAGCCTTCGTTCTCTTCCCTAAGACGGAGATTTTCTCGATTCCTTGATGTGAGCATAGAGGCTTGTGCGTGAAGGTCTCGTTGCAATTTCTCATTGTCGCTCTGTAGGTGTTCCACCAAGGTGCTGCTTGTGCCGCCAAGAGAGATTGGCGCAGTATTCTCGTTGCCATCAGAGCCAGAATTTGAACGAGCAGCGAAAGATTGCTGGATGCGCCGTGAGTTGTTCAGGGTTTTGTTGAAGTGATGGTTCGTCGTCGAGTGTTGCATCTGTTGGTTCTGCTCTTTCAAGCGTTCGACCTCTTCTCGAAGTCTTTCGCTTTCAGTCTCGGCTTGCTGACAGCGACTCTCGACTTGCTCACGCCTTGCGCGTTCCTCCTCGAAATCCTCTTTCCACATGTTGATGGCCTCGTCAAAACCAGCAGAGTCTTCACCAGAGCTCTTCTCTCGCATTGTCTTTATGTAATCAGCCATGCGTCGGTTGTCTGCTTCTTTCTGAAGTGCCTCCTGCTGCCACTGGTCCACAGTGATCTCTGTAGATTCTAGGCGCTCTCGTAGAAACTCGATTTCCTCCTCTAACTCAGCTTGCCTAGACGACTGAACACTTCTCCCGTCCTCCGAGCCGCTGCCAAGGTCCCTGGAACTAGCGTTACCTTCCTCCTGAGCCTTGAGTCTTCGCTCTAGATCACGAATCTTCTTGCGCATTGACTGACTTTCCTTCTTCTCTGTCGCAAGATCGGTTTGCAGTTGGACGTTCTTTGAGATCATCTCCTTGACTCCCTCGTCAGATCGATTCTGAAGCGCTTGGTCGAGGAAATGAATCTTGAGTTTGAGATCAAAGTTTTCTTTGCTGAGCTTATCAATCTTGCTATTCTGTTCCTTCAGTGTAAGGTTGTGTTTGCTCCGAGTGAAGGGAGTGGCCATGTGCCGTTTGTCTGGCGACCGCGAGTGCTTAGCCCGGAAATCGCGTGCAATAGAATCCGGTACCTGTATGTCTTGAACATGCCTGGCGATAACGGTGTCTGTGGGGGCAGCAGGCTGCACGCTGGGAGCGCGAGGTGTCTCGGGTGGAGTTGCGCTATTAGGGACTTCCTCATCTAAACGACCCAGACTATTATCCGGCTGGAGGAAAGCAGAGAGAGAGTTAGTACTGATACTCCGACCCTTCTCCCAGGGGTTGGTATCACTGTATCCCGACATTGACGAGGCTATGCTACCTAAGCTCGGCAATCTTGACAGCCCAAGGCTCATCCCTCGTGGTCCACTTGAGCGAGGGATTGCGCCACCAGTTTGCAAGGCATAGTCTGCACCAAGACTCGCTGTGCTTCCGCCATCTCCAGACGCATCAGACCGGTTAGTGAACGAAGACACGGATGATCGTTGGCTCGAATGGCGATGCTGCAGGTAGCTCGGTCGCTTACTAATCTTTTGCGCGGTCGCAGGAACTGGTGGTGGAGGCATAGCTATGCTGTCTACGCTGGATTCGTTTCCGTTCGTAAGGGAGGAGCCCTCTTCAACTAGAGAGAAGTCGGGGGCTTTTACTGTCGAGGCACTGGATGTGGGCCGTCGCACGTCCACCTCTTTCTGCTGGGCGCCTGGAGCAGCCTGTTCGTCTCGACGCGAGCTGTCCTCTTCTTCCCCCTCCGATTGTTCCGTAGTCTGGCTTGCTGAAGCGCGCGATTGACTTCGTTGCGCGGCTTCCGCGGCGGGCGAGGAAGGTCCACCCTCTGATGTTGCGGTGCTCGTATCCATCGAGTCGTCGGCCCCAAAGTCCAAGCGTCTCGCGGCAGGTGTCTTGTAGGCATCCGCGGGCGTGGGAGCCTCAGAAAAGGATGAAGAGTTGCTTTGAAGAGTATTCCTGGATTGTGACTTGGTCGGTGTGTTTCCACTGCGTACTTCAAGCTTCTTAGGCTTCTTCTTTGGCTTTAGCAGTTCTTCTAGGTTGTTCATTACGCGCTGCATATCTGCGTCGTCACGCAGAGGTCGAGCTGATTGTTGAGAATTTCCTGGTGAGCCCCCGAATAAGTAGGTATCGTCTACGCCGGACTGTCCTTGAGGTGCTTCGACCTGAATAGGCGCCTCTGGGATAAAGCTCGATTCGATGTCCATCAATTGGCGCTTCATCTCGCGATCCTCGAAGACACTCTCGTCATTATGCGCGTCTTCCTCCTCGATAACATGATGTATGATGCTGTCATCTTCCTCGGTTGGTAAGGGCGGCAGGTCAGCGTCGGGCTGGTCAAAAGCCCTGACATCGTCGGCCTCTGAGATATCGTGCGCCATGTCGTTTTCGTGTGTGGGTGCCAGCGTGGGGGTGGAGGGTGTGGAGTCGAGTTCGTCTGTTTGCGAGGCCTCAGCACTCGAAGCAGGAGCGGTGTCTGTCGCCATGGGGGCCGGTGCGCGCGCAATGAGGGGGGGAGTCGCGTGGTATGGAGTATTTTTGAGGCCTGCTCACCAGCATAGTGCAACTGCCGAGGCTGCGGTGGAGTGAAAGTTGACGACAAGTGCGGTGATTCCCTGCACTCGCCTGAGTGACAACAGAGCGCGCGTTGTTTGCGCTAGTATGAATCCGGCATGTTGCCCTACCATTCTGCCGGTCCGCTCCTAGACCAACCGGATCGGCTGCCGGACTATGTGGGCATGCCGTACCCAGATGTGTGTTTGATGTGATACTAGGTACCTTCGTGTTTATACTGCGTGGTTTCCTCATTTGTCTGTAGTGTCTATGTTGATGATTAAGTGCTTCCATGTGCGCAGTTGATCGTAAACACATAGACCATATACATAGTCCAAACTGCGAATACAGAGGGAAAGGTGATAAATGTACATCTTGATTGTGGCATGGCCTGATGCTACTGGATGGTCTTAGCAAGTACTATGCCTCCATAAACCAATGCTCATATTAACTCCTGCTAAACGCTTATGACCTTTCCACGTGTCGGCGTTGTTGCTGATAACGTTCCGATACATGTGTACGTATGTGATGTGAAGTATCTGAACCGGTCCAGCGGAGCAGCACAGATATTGGTCTCTGGCCGCATGCGCTCTCTGGTATGAAGATTCTGTGTGCGTAGATGTCATGCTAGTTCAAGTAGTCATGCAGCATTTCTCAGGCCATTGCCGCTTCCTTCGCCCGCTTTTTATCCTTCTTCGCTTTCTTTTCGTCTTTTCTCTTGGTCCCCTCTGGATCCCGGTGCTTCTTGGTCTTCTTTGATGGCACTTCAGGCGTATCGACACCATTGACATCAGCATGTTTCCTCTTTGGCTTCTTCGAGGGCAGATTGAGTCCATTCGGCATTCCAAGTCCCGCAGTCTCCCGTGGCGCTTCAGTCTCGTCATCTGAATCACCAATGATCCCGGCGTCGTTGCCACTAAAGCCAGTGGGAAGGAAGCGCATCTTCAGTCCTGTAACCTGTGGTCGTGGTGCACGGATAGTCGATCGCGTTATCGAAGCGGCCGCTTCTGAACCCGTGTTCTGGTCTGCTTGTTTTGTGCTGAGGTGAGGAAGTCGCACGACCGATCGCAAGCGCAACGTCTGTGATATCCGCGTAGAGACTAGCCAGGTCAGTACAGTCAATATAAGCAGTATTTGGTGAACGTACCAGGCTCCATGCCGTTCTTGCGAGGCAACAAAACCTCCCGAGTGCCATCCTCGCTCTTTTCTGTCTGAGAAAATCCATAGTCGGTGCCCTTGTGACTTAATATAGCATCTCCTTTCATAGCTTTGTCCATGGCAATCTCGCTCAGATCCTTCAAGGAGACGCCTGCTGGAGCAGTAATGTGCCATATCTGCTTCCCTTCTAGGTTATCAAATAGTCCTGTCGACTTGGAAATGGTCTTGTCATTCAATGCCACTGGATTGAATCCTTTCGGGGGTACGTAGGCCTGCGTCGGTCGAAAGTCGACTGCATGTGATTGTGATTGCACTGGAAGTGATGGACGTGTTTGAGCTGGTTTGCGTGTTGGTTGCGACGCGTTGTCAGTGTCTGAATCGTCACTGGAGGTGTCTGAGCTGCTTGTGCTGTCGCTATCGCTGTCGCTGTCGCTCGAAGCATCCTTGCTCTTCTCGTTACCCGGAAGCTTCGTCTGTATATCCCTGGTCGGCGCGTCGTCGTCGCTTATCTCTGAGCTCGACAAATCTGCGACGTCCTCTTCTGTTGCGATATGCTTGGATGCTGGTTTCTTGGGTGAAACCTTCGACTTGGATGTGGATTTGGAGGCAGGCGCGTCTTTCTTGCTAGGTTTGGATTTGGTTTTAGGAACGCCATTCACATGGATACCGATGGTGGCTTTCGGCTTCTCGACCTTCTTGGGCTGCGCGGTGCTCTCACTGGGAGAATCATTGTCACTGTCGACAAATTCTTGGCTTAATTGCGCTTTCGATGGGGTGTTCTGAGGTTTTGACTTCTGCTTGGAGCCTGGCAGCGGCACCTTGGTTTTGTGTGTGTCCTTCATGGTGTGTGTGGAGCCATGCTCTTTGCGACCAGAAAGTCGAAGTTCGTAACTTTTTTGCGCCGCGGTCTGGCGCGCTCGGGAGAAGAGCCGCATCGCCACTAGTCCTAATCAAAAGCTAGCGCGCCAAAAATCACTGGCTTGGTCGATGACATACTGGACAGATGCAAAACACCAGCATTAACATCCAAAGTCAGTATGTCAGGAAAACGGAAGAGAGGAGAAGAAGCGACTGCAGTTGGAGTCGTCAGCGAAAAGCCGCTCACTGCGATTGCGGCAGCTCGACTGCGAACGGAAGCCGCAGCTAAAGTCGTGAATACACCCAAAGTCACGCTTGAGCAGATTCCTGTACCAGCAAGTCCATTGCTCAAAGGTGGAAACCCGGAACAGGAAGACTCAGATGAAGAGGAACAACCCGTGCCTGTTCAGCGCAATCTCAAACTTTGCAACTGGCGCAACGAACCACAAAACATCCTCTCAGACACCGACACTGAACTCACCGTCAATCTGAACAAGCACGCGACCATCACGTTGATCGGCTGTTTTGACTTGTTGGTTCTGAGAGGCGCCGTCAATATCAATGGTGCCAATATTGGGACAGTCAATCGTGATGGCCAAAAAAACCAAGCTCATCGAGTGTGTGTACCAGCCACGCACCCTATGTCCAAAATCCGCGGATTAGATGGTACAAATCACATGAGTTTCAAGACTTGCAAGACACCTGCATCTTTGGCGCATATTAGTCCAGTGTTTGACGGAATCTGGAATGACTCCAATGATCGATCGTTTCGTGTTGTAAGTGCATCGCTTCTCGTTTACAGCTCACCTTGGCCATTACCATGTTCTATAAGAACATGATGACTCGTTGAGACTATACAAAAAAACTGACTTTTCTGCTAGGTGACCAACTCAGATGCAGATACGCTTTCCCGACCCTTACGTCCTGAAGTGACACCTGAAGACTGGCTTCGCGCAATTGAGGACTGCGCTAGCAATCCTTCTACCACCGTTGTGACTGGGTTACCTAGCTCGGGCAAATCGACTTTTGCCAGGCGGCTCGTGAATCGCTCTCTCACAGGACTAGGCAAGACCGCTGCATCTGTGCCAGCTGTATGTTGGATGGATCTTGACCCGCAAAAACAAGAGTACGTCCCTAGAGGTCAAATCTCTCTCGTTGTGGTGAGAGATTTGAATTTGGGTCCAAGTTACACACATCCCTCTGTTGTACCAGAACAGAGAGAAGCGAGCAGGAACGAGGTTGTTCGCGCACATCCAGTCCCTTCGAATTTTGCCAATTATGCGGACTATTACCAATCCTGTTTTGAGGATCTTTTCTTGGCATACAGGAATCTTTCTTCTCGAGATTCGTCTCTACCATTAGTTGTCGACATACCCAGCTTTCTCTACTCCTCACATTTCGACTTACTAAACAAGCTGATAGTAAGGATCAAACCGCATAATGTCGTACACCTCAGCGATACACGAGCCATCGACACTGAAACAGCGGCAAGGCTGCACTTACTTCAAACATCAACATCGCAATACCACGGCACACTCTATGAGATTACTGCACAACAGCCCCAGTCGATCCCTATAAGGTCGGAGAATGAATTAAGCGCTATGCAGATGCAATCCTACTTCCATCTCAGATCAAGCAGTACGAGCCAGGGCCAGCCCCAACTTCTCAATTGGACGCCAGAACCTCTTTCACAGCTGGTGCCCTGGGAGTTTTGCTACGAAGAAACCCTAGAGCGAGAACAGGATGTAGTTGCTTTCGCAATGTACTCCGAGCCAGTCGAGCCATCCTCATTGCTGCATGCATTGAATGGCTCCATCGTGCAAATCATCCAATCCACATCATCTGCCGTTCCTACTTCTAACGGCTCGCTTCCCAAGACACAAAAATTTGGGATTCCATATCTTCCAGAGTCTGAACGTACTGGCATGGTAGAACCATTAGATCCTCGAACGACGAGAATGGTTTGTACAGCGATGATCAGGGGCTTCAACCCTGAGAAGAAGATAGTAGAAGTGTTGGTACCAAAGACACATGAGCCTCTGTTGTACAATCTGTCGCCCGAGAGGACCATCATTGTCGGTGGGTGCTGCGACGTGCCGGAATGGGCATTCTTGGAGGACGCATATGCACAGGAAAGAGGGGTCAAACCAGCAACTACTGTAGATAATATGCCGGTTTGGGTTGAAAAGGCGGACCTCGTAGATGACATGGGATATCTCAGCACTGTACGCAGAGTGAGGAAGTTCCAGACCTGATAAAGTACCTAGAGGAGATTCTATTCCTACTTCTTGATGAGGAACAAATATGATAAGTACTACAATGTCATTCTCAGATCCAAGACTACCTCCACTGGAATTGCTGCTTTAGGTGGTGCTGTTGTATCAACGGATGTGTATTTGACTTTTGCGACATTGACGAGGCTAACAGACAGACGTTGGCAAACACCGATAATGACCTGGACTTGAAGAGGTGGGTGATGGTCACAAAGGAGAAGAAAGTACAGAACAGGGATAGAGACGTCAAGGTCTTTGAGGTCGGTAATGTCGTTGAAGGAAAAAAAACGTAAGTTTTGGCTTTCTTGTTGTTGCGATTTACTGCTTGGTCGCACTACCGTTGTGATATTTACAAGTGGACACAGCCCTGTTCTCCTATCCCCAATTACAAGATCATTTTCGGTGGAGCTGGGGATCGTCAGCAGATGGGGTGAAAATGATGGATGATGAACTCACGATCGATGATTGGGCACGGCAGGTTGCGCTCGTACTTTGATCCTACAACACCCGTCAGTACAGTCATATCCGCGGCCGATGCGGAAATGTATCCGGGCATGAGCAACGAACCTCCAGGAGCGGTAGGTGGGCGGTAAGGGTCTGGGTGCTTCCACTTGTCGAGCAGATTCTCCGTCTCCTTGATCAGTTCCTGTGCGACTCATCAGCAGAGTCCCCTATGTAGCCACGATATGTGTCGAGTTGTAAATGGGATGGCGGTGGTGCAACAGGGAGACGCACCCTCATCTGTCGCGGCTCAGTGACATTTCGCTTGGCCTCGAACAGTTCGCGGATGTACAGGGCCTGTCCGCGCCAGAGGTACCGGTGGACGCTCCAGTCGAGGGCGAGCTTGAGGGACCGCCTGTAGAGGCGTCTGCGGCTGCGTCAGTTTCTGCGCGTAAAAGGCGAGGCAGGCGGGGATTTGGCGTACAGGACGTGTATCTTGGAGCTCATGACGGCGATGGCCCTTCCAGTGCAGGGTGTGGCGGAAGGGAGAAACGTGGTTCGTGGCCGCAATGCCTCGCTGTTGTCGCAGATGGCTTGGTGAGGGCAGCGTGAGGTCGCGGGCTTGGCACTTGTGCCTGTGACGGAGGGTGGCTTCCGAGACGTCAGAACCGGTGCCCTGTGCCTGCACCTGCTTCAGTACCGTACAATTGCCTCAGGAGGACTCATATTCAGAACTTCGCTCGCTCGAAGCCGCCCATCGCTCTCGCACGCATTCCTATTCCCTTTTTCCCACTCTTCGCTTGGCTGCCCATCATGTCCGGCCAGCAGTGTATACGCCGTCTACCGGCGGCCATGCGCTCTGTGCGAGCTTTGCGCGCAAGCCCACGAGCCATTCCTGCCGCGCGCAGCTATTCCGCCATCTCCAAAGCGAACTCGTCTGGTCTCCTCGGTCAAGCCTCAAGGTAATATCAAACACTCTGTGCATCAATATGCCCACCACTGACTGTTTACAGACGGCCTGGCCAGCTGTCGTCACAACGCCTATGGTCCCTCGACCAGACAAGAAGCTATGCCGACACCATCGTCAAGGTGCCTGAGATGGCCGAGTCGATCACAGAGGGAACCCTGAAGCAGTGGTCAAAACGTGCGTCTGCCTTGTCCAAATGGATACATCACCAGCTCACAATATGCAGAGGTCGGCGACTACGTTGAGCAGGATGAAGAGATCGCTACCATTGAGACCGACAAGATCGACGTTGCTGTCAACGCGCCCGAGGCTGGTACCATCAAGGAGTTCCTCGTCAACGAGGAGGACACCGTCACCGTTGGACAGGAAATTGTAAAGCTTGAGGCTGGTGGTGCCCCAGAGGGTGGAAAGAAGGAGGCCAGTGAACAGCCAAAGGAACCCGCACCTAAGGACCAGGAGACTTCGTCGCAACCCGAAGGCCAGCAAGAGCAGTCTCAGCCAAAGGAGGAGCAATCCGAAGCGCCAAAGGAGGAGTCAAAACCTGAGCCTCCCAAGCAGGAATCCAAGCCCCAACCGCCCAAGCAAGAATCCAAGCCTGCACCACCCAAGAAGGACTCCAAGGCAGACGAGACTAAGCCCGTCACACCTGGCAGCCGTGAGGAGCGCCGCGTATGTACCCCATACCCATGGAGATATTTGTACTAACAGCTCGTAGGTCAAGATGAATCGCATGCGCCTTCGTATCGCCGAGCGCTTGAAGCAGTCGCAAAACACCGCCGCCTCGCTGACCACCTTCAACGAGGTTGACATGTCCTCCATCATGGAGTTCCGCAAGCTCTACAAGGACGAGATCCTTAAGAACAAGGGCGTCAAGCTCGGTTTCATGTCCGCCTTCTCACGCGCCTGCATCCTCGCCGCACGCGACGTACCTGCCGTCAACGCTTCCATCGAGGGCCCCGATGGTGGTGACACCATTGTCTACCGCGATTACGTCGACATCTCCGTTGCCGTCGCCACTGAGAAGGGACTCGTCACCCCCGTTGTCAGGAACGCCGAGAGCATGGACATGGTCGGCATCGAGAAGGCCATCGCCGACCTTGGCAAGAAGGCGCGCGACAACAAGCTCACCATTGAGGACATGGCTGGTGGTACCTTCACCATCTCCAACGGCGGTGTCTTTGGCAGTCTGATGGGCACCCCCATCATCAACCTTCCCCAGACCGCTGTGCTTGGTCTGCACGCCATCAAGGAGAAGCCTGTCGCTATCAACGGAAAGGTCGAGATTAGGCCGATGATGTACCTTGCGCTCACATACGACCACCGACTGCTTGACGGAAGGGAAGCTGTCACTTTCCTGGTCAAGGTCAAGGAGTACATTGAGGATCCCAGGAAGATGCTCTTGTAGGCTTCGGTACTGCGGTCTTTTATTTTTGCATATTTTGGTGGGTGGGTTGTCGGGCGAAAGCGCGGGAACTAGTAGTAGGGTAGGGGGAGATGTGGTCGGATGGATCAATGAGACATTTGCACATGCATTGATTGATTCATAACGTGTACATGTGTCGCATGGAAAAACCGGTATATATAAATAGGTGGTTAATTGCATGTTGAGCGTTTCCTCTCTTGCCTTATGCATCAATGTGTCCAGGTTTCAACGTCGCGCCTTTGCGTGGATAGGCAGGAATTGACGCGTAGATCTCCACAAGTGTCGTTGTAGACTTTTTGCTAAATCCCTCAGGATGCCTATTTTATTTGTATCATGCGCATGTAACCAGATATACACGTATATACACCTCCGGCGTGTCAATGATGTGTGGTCGCGTCTCTCGTATGACGTCACATAAAAATCCCCACCACATTGGAATCTAATTCTAAAAAGACATCTGGAGAGACTATTAATATGCTGTTGGTCGATTCACAAAGTCTTAGGTGAATTGAGCATGGTGGTGGGTTGTGACAATTTTTTGAATGAGTTGTTGTCTGGTGTTAAATATCAAATTCATGAATAACTACGCTGACACTTTGTGAAATATGGGCACCCAACGAAGAAGACATGCGAACATAAAACACAAGCAAAAAGCAGCTATCGCGAGAAGGATACGTAATATCATTTGGAAAAAGGTGTAGTTCAAGTAGCATGTGGTTTTTGACCCTTGAGGTAACAGCGCAGGAGGCTACATAATCACAAGAAGACACCCGACAACATGCTCTAACGCATATGCTTCTTGTTTGCAAGCTAGCATACATGAAGTGAGATATCAGATACTAGATCCCGTCTTACGAGGTGACCATACATAGAAAGTCATGTTCTTGACTGAGATGCACGCGCCTACTGGCTGACGTTAGCAGTACGATAGTATCCAAGCATACTAACATGTGGCTTCATGGGCTCGGACAAGAATACAAAGTCTTCTACACAGGTAAGTATTGTAAGTTGATAGCGCATTATGGACCAAGTCAAAGACATTATGTGGAGGATCTGGGGTACCCCGCTGTGCCGTTTCTGGAGCGGCAATCGCCCAGGTAGTATGATTCGACACGTTTACGTCCAAGTTCGACGCTGGATGCCGTGCACATGTGGATTATTATTATCTTTTTTTCACGTATGTTCCAAATTGCAAGAATTACAACTACATAGTTTGTACACGGTACTTCTACGCAGAGCACATTGTCAAAGTTGCGCAATCGCAGACTTGCCGAATGCAACGTTGTCGCACCAGTTGACCGCCTCGAGATCGCGTGCCGCGTGGATCTACCGGTATGAGGAATGGCTGGTGTGAGGCCGATAGCCTCCCGATGTACCTCCACCGCTCAATCTGCAAGCGCCAACTCGCAGACACAGTACAAAACTAAATGCAAACCAAGGCAAAGTCACGGCAGAAGACAAGTAATGAAGTAATATGCTCGATTCAGCTCATGAGCTCGCGGTCGTCAATACAACCAGCTAATATACAGCTCTGGTATAAATCCCGTAAAAAGCCGAGAACCCAAACCCAGACCGACTCCCATTATCATTGCAGATGAAAAAGACCCATGAAGTAACCACGCCGTGAAGAAGAAACTCAAATGCAGGACGCGTTTAGAGCTCCTGCGAAGGACCCTTGCCAGGCTTGGCTGTCTTCTTGGGCAGAAGGTCTGAAAATATGTTAGCAACTGATGCGATGCGATTAGACCATGATGCAACGTACTCTGGTGAATGTTGGGGAGGACACCACCCTGGGCGATGGTGACGTGTCCGAGAAGCTTGTTCAACTCCTCGTCGTTCCTGATGGCGAGCTGGAGATGACGGGGAATGATACGGGTCTTCTTGTTGTCGCGGGCAGCGTTACCGGCCAACTCGAGAATCTCGGCAGCAAGGTACTCGAGGACGGCAGCGAGGTAGACGGGGGCACCGGCACCGACACGCTGAGCGTAGTTGCCCTTGCGGAGAAGACGGTGGACACGACCGACGGGGAAAGCGAGACCGGCCTTAGATGAACGGCTAAGGACGAGTTAGCTATGATGCAATGTTGGAGATGCAATGCGAAAAGACGCGTCAATCAAGCAAAAGACGCGTCAAAAAGATGCGAATTGAAGCAGAAGAATGCGCAAGGCAAACCCAAGCTCAAGACGCGATGCACGAGATGGAAACACTTACGATTGAGCGCTGGACTTGGAGCCGCTGGCCTTGCCTCCGGATTTGCCGCCAGTCATTTTGAAGGAGTTTGGTTGGGGTGGGTTATTTGAGAAAGTGGGAGTGGTGAGAGAGATGAGTTGCGTGAGCGGGTTGAGCTGGTTGTGGGCGTGGAGTGTCGAGACGATGGATTGCTTGCTGCTGTTGGGGGGCGGGGCGGTCTTATAAGGACGGCGCTGGACTGTTGTGAGTGCGCGAGATCAACCTGCCCACGCTAGCGCGCGAAAAGGCAGCGACGCCGTCTAGCGCCTGCCGCAAGTCAGCGCAAGATCACTCGCGGGCCTCGCTTAGCTACTAAACTGGCAAGAGCTACCGCACGGGCCTCCCAGCCGCCTGCTGGATCACAACATGAGAGCGCGCTCCCCATAAGTAGCGCGTCCCCCGCCGTCGACGACCTTTCCCTTCATCCATCGCAAACTCCCACCACGACACTCAGCCAACTCCATCTCACTCAAAGCTTCTGCTTTTAACTCAAACCCATCCTTTTCACCCAACTCCACCAAATCACTCAAAATGCCCCCCAAGGCCCAGAAGACTCCCACCACCGGCGGCAAAGCCCCGGCCGGCAAGGCTCCCGCTGAGAAGAAGGAGGCTGGCAAGAAGACCGCCGCGCCCTCTGGCGACAAGAAGAAGCGCACCAAGACCAGGAAGGAGACCTACTCCTCCTACATCTACAAGGGTAAGTTTGTCATTTGCGCGTCATTGAGCGCGACATCCAGTCTTTGAAGCAATCTGCTTCATTGGTTTCCATTGAGCAAAATTTGCTAACGCGTCTTTGCAGTCCTCAAGCAGGTCCACCCCGACACCGGTATCTCCAACCGCGCCATGAGCATTCTCAACTCTTTCGTCAACGATATCTTCGAGCGTGTTGCCACTGAGGCCTCCAAGCTCGCTGCCTACAACAAGAAGTCCACCATCTCATCGCGCGAGATCCAGACATCGTACGTTCTCCACACTCTCTTCAATCCGTCGCATATACTGACTTCATCCACAGAGTCCGTCTGATCCTGCCTGGTGAGCTTGCCAAGCACGCCGTCTCTGAGGGTACCAAGGCTGTTACCAAGTACTCTTCTTCCACCAAATAGAGTGCTTTCTTTTCGCTGGATGTTTTCTTTGGGTCTTTCTTGTCTATTCCGACAAGTGGTTATGGGGTGCGGTGTTCACGGGTCCTTTGCTAATGTGATCATGGGTCGGTTTGTCTGTCATCGAATCATCTAGTCGTATTCGACTACGAGGTCCATCAGGGTCTGTACATTATACCACAGCAGACGGGAACGAATCAATTCTTTCGAACTTCACACATGACTCCAATTTCTCCAACCATTTCCTGTTCTATTTCTACACTGATTGACCTGCTAATATCCAGTTACCCCATTCACGAGTGGGACGGTCGAACCTGGTAGCCACCTGTCTACAATACGCACATGGGAAAACGCGTGGAATTCGAGTCGAAGCGCGATATCGACGCGCTCGAGGTCGCGTGTACCGTATCCGGAGAAACGCGTCAAAAGCGCGCCTTTCGCAACGCCGCATCCGCAGCAGTCGCGTGCTGCACGACTTTGGTTCACATGACGTAGAACTCCATTTTGCGTCAACCGGCTGATTTCATAGTTATGATGATAGACACAGACTTCGCATGGCAATCTTTGGGACTGTCATCATGAGCAGATAACTACCAGAGAACGTGGATTGCACATGGAAACGCGGCATTTACGGATGTACATGTGCCAAACCCAAGGAATCCATATCAACAGTGCCGAAACTCCAGACATGCATGTACCCGTATGATATCATTGCGAGACCCAAGAGAGAACGCCACCAAGAGAGGGAGAGCAAGCAAGAAGACTACAGTCTACTGTAAGCCATCCTCATCCCAGCTTTCAACTTCGTCAATAGCACCCTCTCTTTCCTGTCCTCGCGGCGCTGGCTCTTTGTCTTGCACGTGAACCACGCTCTTACCTTGCACGCTGCGGACGCCTTCTTTCCAATTGTCGTAGTCTTCCTTCGATGTTATGAGGAATGCAAGGAGCATGGAGGGGTCCATCTCGCGGATCTGAAGACGGCGGATGCGGCGTGTGTGGCAGGTTGCGAGTTCTTCTGCGGAATATGATGCGTTTGATGAAGGAACAATGGTCGTGGATGACGAGGTGGACGTTGCTGAGGCTTCTAGTGTGGAAGATGACGCTCCTGCCTCGCTGTCGGTGGACGATGGAGGAGGGCGGTAGGGTAGCAGTGGGCGTGTGCTGTGGGGGTCGAGGTAGAAGAAGTTGTTCGCCTGCGTGGCTACAAAGTAGTGTGATGCTGATGGTCGGCCACTAGAACAGTCAGTGTAACTACTAATGAAGCCTGCGAGATGTTCGTTGCGCCTTACCCTGCAATACCAATACTCTGCTTCATCTGCAGGCTCGCCTTTAGTGCTTCCCAGTATACTGGTGTAATCTTGTCGATGCCCAACCTCGTGCCGACTAGGATTAGTGTAGGCTGCCATTCACCGTCATCCTCCATGGCGATCTCCTTCAGCTTATCCTCATACACATCAGCACCATCGCCTGACACGTACACTCTCAGCCCAGCTTCCTTATTCTTGTGCACTAGATCTTGTATGCAACGTGCTGCTGCCGAGGGACCAAACCACTCGCCAGGGTACTTTCCGCATACAGCAGCGCCATGCTCGACGAAGCGATGGATAGAAAAGGGCGCTTTCGGATCGTCGGCAAACATGGAGAGTATCTGTTGATGCTCCTTTGCATCAGGCTTCTCTTGGTATCTCCAGTCCCGCCCGAGACGTAGTATCTGCAGCGCATTGGCGAGGATGCACTGCCCACTCCTGATCATGCACCCAAAGCCCGTGTCCGATGTGAAGCCAGGTGAGGCGAGGTTCTGCATGCGCACGCGAAAACTCATGGCGCTCGTTGCCTTCGGATCCTGGCTCTTCTGGATGGCCGTGAAGCCAGAGCGGTAGGTCATCCATATGCGCGACTCGAAGTCGTCGAGGAAGGCAGAAGGCCAGTTGCCGTATTGTGCCGGATCCTCGCCATTTGGAGCTTCTCTGCGCTCTGTCTCTTCGATGCTGGTCCTTATCCAGCTTTCATCTTCGTTGCGCTCGGACTGGGGCGTGGGCGTCCCGGCGGATGGGGAATCAGTAGGCGTCGGCTTGGATGGCGGAGGACGGGGGTCGTAACGTTGGCCCAGCAGCCATATGGGTTCGTTGGAGTCGTTCGTAGGCGGAGGGTCGTAGAAGGTACGGACGACGTTACGGGTAACGCGCTCGAAGTCATGCATGATGGCTGCAACTATAGGTGGTGTGGCCAGGGCGACGATGGATGCGGAGGTGATGCGGAGGTCCGAGATGAGGTTGCCTAGAGCTGGCTACATGCGTTCGTACTTGCCACGACTATTCACACATGCCCACGACACAAAGGTGTTGGAAGAGAGATAGAATAGAAGCACGATGTCCAACTCGCTCAGTTGGTGCAGCGAGCCGCAGAGGTCATATGCGGCTCTACGACCCAAGGTTCCCGCGGGGGAGGGGTCCACGGTGGCCATCACCTGGCTGCCCACGGGTGTCACTTAACATCAATCACGCTTCTGGAATGCGTTGGCGAGAGCATGTACCACGACCAAGTATACCATGCTTCATTCAAGCGCATCAGGTTTACTCACTCTGTGATGGATTATCCGCTTGGAGACTTGTTACTGCTCTCTCGGCAAGCTGAGAGCTCCCTACAGCGCGATAACCAGCGGCCCCATCGTCATAAGCTCCGCTGAGCTAACCCTGCGCATCGTTACTAGCCCCGCGCCACTCGCAACGAGACATCGAAGAGCGCATCATCTCCAAAAGCTTCCACCGCACTTTCCTTTCCTTTTCACCGCAAACTCTCGTCGCATCGCCATCGCCATGTCGCGCGGAAAAAAGGGCAAGAGCAAGGCCAAAGGCGGCTCAGCTAAGAGCACACCGCAGCGCGCGCCTTCCAAACGCCACTCATACCAGTCATGGCCAGTCCATGAAGAGAGTACGTTTGCGCTCCTTCCCCAGTCCCAAACGATTGGGTCGTGTTGACCGTTCCTACAGCAGCCGCGTCCAAGTTCTCCCTCAAGGACGAAGCGAAATGGATGTCCAGTCACCGCACCGCTGCGTTTGAGGCTGGCAAGAAATTGCGACACATGCCCATCCAATTCATAAGTGCCGGTCACCTCGAAGGCACGCTGAAGAAACTGGACACGCCTGAAACAGATACTGCTCAGATTTCGTCTGATTCCGGCGCCGAGTCAAATACACCGTCCTCGCCCTCTTCCACGCCCGACAACACAACAGCAATGGCACACATGGCGATCCGCAGCCCCTCGCCTGCGCTCTCTGAGGCTTCATCATCGAGCGCTGATGAGGTGCTGTTCAGAGGTCGTGGAAACCAGTCATCTGCTGCACCCGTCGCCACCTCATCCACAGAACAGGCACCCAAAGCCACGCCTACCGCCACGCCACAACCCTCTGAGGTCACACTATCACGACCATTACAGTCTACTCCTGCAGTAGAGACACCACCTGTTGAGACGCCTGAGTTTACAACTGCCTCAGCCGTCGATCGTGCATCAGTGATTGTGACAGGCGACGCCCCAGTATCGGTTGAGCTCAGTATTCGAGGCAATGCTGCTTCTCAGCTACAAGTAGAAGTGGGTTCAGATGCTGACGACGTTGATCAAGACCAATTCGCGAGGCGAAGAAGAGGCAGGCCTGCGTGGGAAGGCAAAACTACCGAATGGCAACACCGAAGCAAGCCCAATATTGGATGGTTGCCTGATGCTGACCGTCCCGACATGAATGACTATCTGCACGGCGATATGAACCCCCGTGACGCAGCTATTGACGACTACATGCAGAATATGGAAGAGTTCGGTCTCACCGAAGACCTGCTGGCTACATCTGGCTTCGCTCGTCGTGAAATGGATCTGGACGCAGGCAGTCACAACGATTGGGAATCGGTATCTGGAAGTCAAGACGGCGGCAACGATGGCGAGGGCAGCGACAATTGGGATTCAGACATGTTGCAGGATTTCGAAGACATGAGCACCTCATCAGATGTGATGGACAAAGTCGTTCGGATTCTATCAAAGCGCACCCGCAAGAGTGGCCTTCAATATCTCTGCGTGTACGAAAACTCTGTTACGGACGATGCCCGTTGGCTGTCTTACACACATCTCAAAACCGCCGACGAGAAGCGGTTGATCAAAGGTTTCGAGGCAGAGGTCTACGAGCGTGAACAGCAGATGCTTTCCAGTAGTGACTCCGAGAATGAAGATGACGACGACGATGACGACGACGACGAAGAAGAAGAAGAAGAAGAAGAAGAGGAACTCGACGATGAGACTATTGCGAAGATCTTGCAGAAGCAAGAAGAACTTGGCCTCGGTGGCGACGAGGTGATGTTGTATGCTGGTGACGATTTCTTCGACGACTCAGGCCCTGCCAACGACTACTCGTATGGCGCTTACAGCAGACCTAGCAAAAAGAAGGGACGCGGACGAGGTAACAAGGAGCCTACTTTCCCCTCGGCCTCTGCTATGGTTGCAGCCCTTGAGATGGACCCGTATGGCGGTTTCGACATCATGGACACTGAGCGCCCATCCTTGAAGCCTAAGAAGAAGGGCAGACGTGGCCAGCCACCGCCAGAATTGGATGACTCCGATCTCAACGAACAGCTACAGAGCGCATGGGCAAACGATAGAGAAAAGAAGCGCCTTAAGAAGGCGGAGCGTGAGGAGCTGCGTCAACAAGGCTTACTAGGTCGCAAGGGTAAAGGCCCCAATCTCAAGGTCAAGTACCAGGGTGGTATTGACATGGAGGACATTGTCGAAGAGCTTCGTGAGTTCTTGGTGGGTGACATGCAGACACTGTCTCTACCGCCCATGGAGGCCTATCGCCGCGCCACCGTCCACCAAGCCGCTTCATTCTTCAATTTGAACTCCCGTTCCCGGGGCGATGGTAACGACAGATTTACTATCCTCTCCAAGACCAATCGCACGCGCATCTATACTGATGACGAGTTTGATATCGCGATTGCAAAGAAGGGCTTCCAGAAGCGTCTCAAAGGTCCTCTCTATTCGCAGGGCGGTGGCGGCCGTCCCGGGAAGTTCTCTACGGTCAAACACAAACAGGGGGGTGCACGTTCCCGTCCTCTGCTGGGTTACAAGGACGGTGAGACCGTTGGCGCAAACGCACCAGAGTTGGGCCCGGAAAACAAGGGTCATGCTTTGATGATGAAGATGGGGTGGTCCAAGGGCACTGCTCTCGGTACTGCCGACAACAAGGGAATTTTGCAACCTATTCCGCATACTGTCAAGACCAACAAGGCCGGCTTACAGTGACCTGGCTTTTGTGGTCACAACACGGCTTAAGAACGTTATTTCTCTTGTAACGTTTGCGAAGTCGTGTTTGATAGGATTTTCCCCTCTACCATCCCCGGATGCGCAACATCGATTGCGTCTGATGTGGATGTTACTACCTTGTGTATATCCTTGTATGTATGAGTATTGGTGATCTTTCTGGCGTACGATGGGTTTTTCTTGATACTAGCACAGTCACAAAGGGCGACGGTATTGTATTGCATGGCGGAATACCGGCGTTATCTAGATTCTTCACCACTGCCTGCATACTCATCGCAGCGGTTCATTGTGCAGCTCCTATCTGCAGCTTGCGATACTTCCCACAATTCCACTGAGTTATGTCTTGTCGACAAAGGATTATGTCGCGACACTGCTTAGCTGGGCATTGAAACTATAGAAAACTCAACAAAAACCAACGATTGCACAACTTTGTCCTTTTCCTGATGAAAATGATCGTTCTGTGTAATCTCAGTATACCAAAATATGGCTTGAGCAGATCCGATATTGAATAATGCCCGCAACTCGCTGCAAGTATTTACTTGATGTTCGGGGTCGAATTTCCACAATGAAAAGGATCACCAATATCAGAAGAAAATCCAAACATCCAATAACGTATGGGATTGGCTCCAGAATCCATCGCGATAGTCATTCATTGGTCTAAATAGTCATTCATTCCATTCAATATGTCCTCGGTACGTTGGAGTGTTTAGTCGTCCTCATCTTGTTGAACCCATTGCTAGGGCGAGCCCATACCAGACTGCCACCTCAAAACAGGAAATGAGACGCAGCTTTGTATCTCAATGACGCTTGAATATCTGCATCTTTTGCGAAAACTTACGCGTATTGTTGCTTAGGGATAACGTAGGCGCTTTGGAATGATTGTTCGATAAGTCATGGTTCCCACTAAAGGGGTCAATTGACGGAAAGCCTTTATCAAGGCAAGCAGTCTGAGAGATCTATTCGTAAGATAATCGTGACAGAAAGGACACGAACACCACGTGTAGGTCCCAATGTTATGTACGAGAACGCCGAACAAGCCAATGCTCCCCTCTTCTTAATCAACAAAAACGTCCCGATATTGTGAGTGATGCTAAATGAGGGTGTCGTGTTCCCCGAAGAGTCAAAATATAGTGGATATCGTAGGGAAGGTCCTGCTGTACTGGTTCGTCCTATTCTGCAATTTCTTCCTAACATTCGAGAAAAAGAGGATGCGATCAAAAGGCGGCGTATTCCTCGTTTGGTGCCAGTTGGTAGTTCTCCGCGTGCAAACCCTTCAGAGCTTCCTCGCCGTCCTTGGTGAGGTCTGGTCTGCCGACAGGTGTGACTGCTCCAGTGAAGAATCGTGGTTTCCATTCTTTCTCAGCCACCTTGCGCTCAGCCGCCTTCTGCCGTTGCTTCTCCTCGATCTCGGTCTTGAGGTTAGTCGCTAGCCCATATTGCTTGCCTACTATGGCATTTGTGACGCCATCCCAAAATTTGAGGGACTCGTTGGGAAGCTGCTGATCAAGCGGTGGAACGATCTTGGCTACGGGGTCGAGCGGGTTGAGGTCGATGATGAGGTTCTTCTCCTGTTAAAATGTTAGATTGTGGTGCAGACTACTAATCAGTATACTTACGGCAACCTTGGCGAATGGCTTGCTGCCGAGGGTGTAGTAGACCTTATCTTGCCAGTTGCCCTCTATCCGCGCAAGGACATCCTTCTCTGATACATCCTTGATCTTGGTAACAGTATCATTCTTGGGGTCATACTTGAAGATGACACCCAGGACCTTGTTCTGTGATCGACCGAGCCAGCCCTCCTCCTGGTATTCTAGGATGACCTTCAGCCCTGTCTTTGGGCAGGTAACGAAGCAGCTATCTGCGACAGATACATTGAGGGAGCCTGTAAATAGAGTAAGCATGGCCACACTACATATAATGCTCTCATGACATACCGCGTAGTATGCCCCCAAGGTAGGCCGCTGGGTGAGTGAGCTGGTACTCCTCATCGCCCCGGTTCTTCAAGTTGATGAAGATGCCCAGGTTGTGTGCTCCAGCAACCACACGCACGCTTGTGCCAGTAAATTTTGCGCTTAGTTGATCGTAGCCTCGTGCACTAATGCCCTTCTCGGGACAATCGACGTAGAAGGCGGAGACGGGCGGGTGGTGAGACGTTTGCTCGGTAAGGTAGGAGACGGTCACGGTCTTGCCATCGCCTTTGACGCTGTTGGCAGCGCTTGTGGGTGCGGAGTTGGGTGTCTTGAGGGTGGGATGAGTATCCTCGATCTTCCAGTTGCACTGTAAGAGTCAGTAGGTAGCCCGTGTCGTTCTGGGTTAGTGCGTACCCTGAAGAATTCACCCAATGTAGAGTTGTAAGGCTTGCACGGCTTGCCCTTGACGTATTTCTGCGCCAGCATTAGCTACGTCTTTGTCGAGGGTACGTGCAGCATACCAGGTCCTTTGTAAACCAGAAGCGCAAGCACCCCAGCATGCGCCCCAGGTCGTCGTCCGAATCCCCGATACTGTGCAGGTCAGTAATGGGCCTTGCAACCTAAGTTGAAGCTGTGCTGACCTGATGAATGTGTCGGGCCTGTCCAAGTAGTGCCAGTACTCTGCTATCCGTCAGATGATAGTCCTGCCACAGCGACTTGCCATGACAGCAATCCTAGATCCATGGTGATGCAACGTACCCAAGTTTGGCCTTGGTTCGAGGAGTTGTGCGGGGAGGGAGAAGCGAACAGCAGCGAGGTCGGAGACGCCAATGAACCTGGACGAAGACCGAGTTAGCTTTCGCGCGTTGAAACTCGCCAGTCGTGCCTAGTAGACATGCTGTGACCGGGTGGTGCTACGTTACCTCCTCAATATGCCCAGGAAGGTCTTGAACTTGGAGCTGTCGTCCGGAGCCTTCTCTACGGCGGCGTTTGAAGGTGTTGCAGCCCGCGAATTATCTGTCGAGTTGAGGGCGGACGTGGTTGCAGAGCCCGGTTGGGCCTTCTCTGGCGCAAGGTCCGCCATGGTGATGGGATACGTGTTTTACTCAACAGAGTAACAGCAAGTGGGGACAGGAGCTCGAAGCTATATCTAGGTTACGATCGATGATGTCGTCAGGTGTTGAGGCGTTGCGCTTTTCGGGGTCACTTGGCAGTTGGCACACGCGCGGAACTCTGACGTAGCGCAGCCGATAGCCTCTAACCTTGTCGCAGCGGGGTAGTGGAGAAGGGAAGGAGAAGAATATCAGATCGAATGGAGCATACAGATCCAAGTCGGAAAGACGGTTATCTCCAACTTGCAGGGGCTGCTGTTCTTTTATTTAGCGTTGCCGTTATCGTACCTCTAATCCCAACCTGCGCGTCTGCTGCAAGGTCGAAACGCGCAATAGGGACATGCATTGACAGATCGTGCATCGCTTGATTGGGTGCAGTCTCGCCACCGACTCTCACCCCTACCACGTTTCACAACCGCGAATAGCCTACTTCACAGCCGTGGAACCGCACGACATGTGTAAGAGAACTCCTCGTCTATTCTTTGCTACACCTGAACTATACCAACTCAAGTGTGATGCTCCAGCCTGACGTGCTCCTTTTCGACCTGTGCACACGACGACGCCAAAGTTCCAGACAAACCGACTAATGACTGATCGCTGTGATCGACAATGCAAATGACCGTCGGTACACCCCTACGCGCCGTCCCTGATCGTACCTTGCGTTATCGCGAAATCATCAGTCGTCCCATTCCCGCCATACTCCAATTTCACATGCCTTGGGCGTATCCGTGTATATTTCTACTTCGTACCATTCTTCTACTGGTCCACCAGAGCCTGACAACCTATCCAACACAAGCCATAGATCGCCTTGCGTGGTGATTTTCGGATCAATGTTCACACTCTCGGACCGAACTGTGGCAGTATCCGAGTACTCTCCTTGTTCGCTCGCGATGATGAACTTGCGCTCTGGGCCCCGACCAATTTCCACACTCAGTCGAAGCGGGCTGCGCGCTAGCTTGCCCAAATCCATAGCACGAGGACTTGTTGCCTTGGCGAATCTGGCGATGATGGTATACGAAGCCAAACGCATAGGCCACAACGGCGCGGCAATTTTATGTATGTTGGCACCGAAGCAGGCCGGAGTGAGCTTCATTGAAAGGAGACCTGCTCCATCGCGTGGGACTTGCTTCAAAACTACCTCGCTCGTGCTGTCAACTCGGAGTTGGTAGTCGCCAGTCAGACCAGCTTCAAACAACGAGCAAATGATTGTGTAGGAGCCCGGCTGAAGGTCCTTAATCTCCGCTAAGACACATCCACTGCGGTGATCGCCCGAGTCTGCCAGTACATCGCGACTCTGAAGACGATATAACCTCTTTCCGTGTCCCAGCGCAAGCTTGACATGTAAGGGATGCTCGTGGTTCGTACTCGTGAGCAGGATAGCTAGTGAACCACGTTCCCGAACGGTGAGCGAATACTGAGGATTATCAAAGTATTTCGACGAGTCTGTGCCGCCGCCAGCCGTCTGCCTCGTCCAGGCGCCTTCCTCCATCTTCTGGAGGGGATACCGCTGCGCTGCCTGTTCCAGTGTGATTGGTGAATTTGCGAATGCTGACAGGGAGAAGCTGTACAGTGATGGAGGCAAGTCATCTTGATCAATCACCACTGTATAGGTCGAGTGCGCATCTGTGTCACAGCGAAGAAGACACTGCGGTGTTGTGACGTAGTCGCTCGACTCTAGGTAGGTATCTTTCATATACAGTCTTTCTCCCTGGCCATTACAGATAGATATACTCATGTATCCCTTTGGTGCATCTCCGTTAGAGTTGACTTGAGAATCAGGGCGGATACTCCCGTCGTTGAATGCATCTGACTCTTCCTTGGTAATTGCTGTCGTGTCTCGGAAATGGCGACTAAGGAGAAACCACACGGGGCCGGTGTGTTGAGAAGCAAAGGCGAATTGTGGATGCTTAACGAGGCAACCGCCTGGCGAAGACTCCACATTCCATTCAAAATGAATATCTTGTCGATACTGGAATAGGCCAGGGTTCCAGTTCAGGTACAGGCTCTCGAAGTGCTGTATGACCTGCTCAAGCCCGATCCAGAACGTCGTTGGGTGCGGTCGATCCTGGGTCGGAACACTGTCCCTGTGATAGCTCTCGAGGCTGTTACTAGAGCCACCACTGGAGATAGACGCAGACGCATCCATGGCCGTTACAGCCGAAGGACGAGGGCCACGCCAACCCTTGCCTTCGACCCAAGGGTTCTTGATGAGCAACAGACGGTCATGATCCGTCTCTTTCATGTCCAGCACGACGTAGCTGTGTTGGCCTTCAAGACCGAGTTCGCGCTCCTGTCTAGTCGACATCTTCCCAGTACCTGCAGTAACCAGAACATCGCCATACATGAAAGCGTTGTATATACGCTTCCATAGTTGCTCTGGAACTGTATCCGCCCTATAATACTCAGTATGGTAAGGCGTAGACACTAAGTAGGAAATGCCTTACTCTTGCAAAAACACTTGTTCTGGTATCCAGCCGGTCATCGCCCAAAGATCACTGCATGAACTGCTCCCAGGGAAATCGTAGCCACCGCGGACCTTGAGATATGCTTTTTCGAGTAATGCCGGCCACAAGAGCGCTGAATTGCGGCGATCGATGACATGCAGCAGCCGATGGGTACTCGATACTGGTAACCTGTCGTCGATGACCACCTTTCTCCAACAACCATTGAAATTAAGCCGTACAATATACTTGCCGTTAGACGATACTACTGGCTTTCCAAGGTGCTTATCGTATGGGTATATCTTGTTCGTGAGCATCTGTCGCAGTTAGTACCAGAGACGCTGACCTTTCTGCACGACAAACCTCGTCGTGACCCCGTTCAGAGCGAGCAATGCCAGCACATAAGCTCGTAACCACTGAGCAATCCGAAGCTGCATCCTGTACAAGATCCAGAGGCCTCGTGCTGGACATCAAAGGCCCGATGCCAGCCCTGCCATTGGGGAACTGCGAGGGCGGCGGGACAGCATCTTTGGCGCGCAGCCAACCCAAGAAGAATTGCTGCTGGTATGGCGATAGACTCAGATCCCGGGTGTCCCTGTTGTTGTTGTCAGTGTCTTGAAACCCCCTTTCTCGAGCATTAGGTGATGTACATGTAGGGAGCCACGCCCTCTTCCGATGTAAATTCATTTGCAGATGGCATTTTGTCCCAAGGCGGAAACTTGAAGCCATTGACTATGGAAGCCTTTAATAAGATAATGCTCTCTTTTGCGGGCAACTTCCTGCTTGAAACTGGCTCTCGTAGCCTGTGTATCTGAGCGTGGGGTACAGTCGATGGTGTTAGGTCCGCTGCTTGCGGAGCGGGTGCCCTCGGCTGAGGCTGTGGAACAGGGAAGTGTGGCGCCGCAGATGGATCTAGTTCCACATTGTGAACGTCTTTTGTGTGGTGATCATGGCCAATCTTGGCGTTTGAGCTATCTTCGTGCCATACATCAGTGATTGCGCTTGGTGCATTGACTGGAACAGGATCATCCGAAAGATCAATAAGCGGCATGGAATCTTCATAGATAGCTTGCTTGACAAAAGGAGCTGTTGAAGAAACATCTGAATGATGAATGAATGCTGATGAAGAAGAAGCCGAAGATTTACCTGAAGCTGCTGGACCGCTGACAGGCCCTGTAGTTGAGGAAAGATCACCGCGGGATGCGTTCGAACGAGTAGTAGAGTCTCCAAAGGATGTACCGGGAGTCGTACTTCCAGCGACCTGGGCAGCCCACCGACCGACCCGCTCGTGTCTTGCATTTGAGGGCTGTGGTTCGACTAAAGGTGTCCATGTTTCTGTATTCTTGATGCGATCGGCAACATTCATCATCTCGCTGCATTGCGCCTTGATTTGTTTCTTTTCGTCTGGATTCGACGACAATTTGAGCGCTTTCATCAGACTCTCAGCCACACTGATGGCCAGAGTGAGCGCCTCATCTTTGGTAGCAGCTGTCTGAAGCTGGGAGCGGTAGTTCTAGTAGCTTGATTAGTTGGAGCTACAATAGAGAACTTGTTGCTGCCACGAGAGGTTAGTCGCGAGTATCACATACGCTTGCAGCAGCTTTACAAGCCTCAAGCTGAGCGGCCCGGTCAGCCATCGTGAATGGCCTGAAACGGGGTGTGGTTAACGAAGTTTGACCAATACGACCAGCGGACAGTGAAGCTACTTGCTTCGTGCCATAACGATGCGACTAACACGGGGGACTTGAGTCAAGGGCGCACCAAGAAGTCGTGATGGTGTTCTGTTGTTTGCAATGGAGCTGAGCGTTTTAGCGCGACGCACGTTCCTGCCAACCGCCTGTCGCGACTGCCGGCTGCAGCAGGCAATGCAGGTTCATAGCAGGTGAGCGAGGCGAAACGTCTCTGATTCACGTGTAAGGTATGCCGAGCCCACGGCGGCTTGCCTGCGCTCACCGAAACGATCAACAATGGCGACGGTGAAGGAAGGCCCAAGGGAGCAGGGTAAGACGTCATCCGGCCCTGAACCTCGGCCTCTGGAACCTCGGGAGAGGTCAGCCATGCATGCGACAGCGCTATCGCGTTGCGGGCACCATGAACGTCCCCTGCCCGCTTTTTCTAACCCCCGATGCTGCTATCTCCAGTCCTCAGATAATCGCGGTCATAATGAGATAGTAAGAATCGATAGCTTCTTCCACACGACCATACCCCTCTGCCCGTCACGCTCTCCGTAGTCGCAACACCCAGGCCAAGCCCTAGCAACTTTACTCGACCACCACTACCATGGCCGGGCAGTCCAAGGTAGAAACTCTACCGCCATGGGGTAACGCTGTCGCAGGCGCCGCCGGTGCTGTCATCGCGAACACGCTCGTCTATCCCCTGGACTTGTAAGTTGCACATATTCTGAGACATTGTATGCAACCGAGAGAAATACTGACAACGCCTCAGGATCAAGACGCGGCTACAGGTCCAGGTTAAGCGCTCCCCCAACTCGAACGATGCCAATCCCGCCGATGGCGAACACTACGATGGCG